AGGTATGAATCTATGAAAAGGAATAGAAGAAACACTCACAAAGTTCAGTGTCTTCTATAAAGCGTGAAATATCAGATATATAAGCTACTTTGCTATTTTTTCCAAACAAAAAACCTAAACAAATATAATCCTCCCCATGCATCACCTAAATAAAAGGTTAGTTAAACAACAGTCAAAAACGTATATAACTGTAATTATAATATATTATTAATTCAAGCAGAAAATAATAAATAGATAAATGAAAAGGTTAGAATATTAACTGGAAAGGGTGTGATTTCTAGTCCGGATGCAACAAATGGCTTCTTACTATCATTCTCGATTATTTTCCATTCAAGTTGTGCTACACGTCTAACTTCTTCACCAGCTTTGAGCTTCCTTTGTAATAGGTAAGGAAATTTCACTTTTAAGCTGTTTAATACATGAGAAAGATTGACAGATCATGCAACCATAACATGAGTGTTGAAGTGTCAAGAGATGAAAAAAAACCAAGAACTTGAATACCTTTCCATTGCATGTTGATTTAGGAAAATTGGTGTAGGTTCAATGTCGTTTACTGGACTGAATGGTTGCACTGAACGGATGTCATCAAGACCAAGAACTGCATCCGCATGTTCATGAGTCAAAATAATCTGCATTTTATAACAATTATTTATTATTATCAACATCATGGATCCCATTTGTCTTTCTCTTTCAGTTAAAAAAGATTTGATTAAAGAAACTATAGAGTCCCCCTCCCATGAAAGTTTCAAGTAGAGGAAGAATATCCAATTAATATGAACTAAAAACTGTATTAGGGAGAAGAAAGTTACAGAATCAACTTGAGGGATCTTATGGAAAGTAAACCACCGGAGGACTTGCTCCCTGAATGTCTTTCCCACATCAATTAGTATGTACTTATGTTCCCCAGCACTTGGACTATAATCAATCAGAAGAGATGTATTGCACCTATAGAACGTATATATAATTAACTTTTATGAGCCACCATTAACTTTAGGATAAGCTTAACGAAAATATAGATGGCAATGATAAGCATAATCTCAGACTTAATTTGCTCAATGAAAGTATAGATATTGTCCGATCAGTGTCAGTCTGCAGGGGGTGGCTATGTTAGCACATACACCCTCTATACAAAAAGAGGAGGTAGCCGGAGAAAGTCAAAGCATCATATATATGGATTTTGATAAATATCTGCCACAAACTTTTTATATGTATAATTTGTTGTAGAGTTTTATGTATTCATCAGAATTTCCAAAAAATCGTGTTTGAAGTTCACAACTAAGGTAGGAGTTAATACGTTTCCTAGAGTTGAACTTATATACCTTTTCATGTGTGTTCAAAAGCATTTTCTGAAATTGAAACTAATAACCAATACATATGTGTCTAAAAGTCAAAATTTTACTATAATTGGGAAGGAATGAAGAATGAGAACTATTTACAAGTTTGAACATACAAGTTTCTCCAAAAAATCAGAATCCCCGACAAGTTTGAACATACAAGTTAATCCATCATAAGCATTGATTTCTATGCAGGCAGATCTACAACATCTAAAGGTTAAAGATCCATGACGATGCAATGGAGGGGGAAAATGCAACTATAACCCTAGAATTTAGTTTATCATCGTCGAATACCTGTAATTAGGGTTAGATTCAGGTGGAGTCGATAAGGACTGGAAGCAGACTTTACAAGGTGGATCCGATGGTTTGATCAGACACATTGCGTTGGGGACAGCACTCGAACAACCAGTACCTACAAAGATCAATGCTGAATGAGGTTGCTCGCGATGGCCGTTCTCCAAAAAGTCACCGCCGACGTCCATATAAGCTGCCGGAATGAAACTGGAGATATGAAATAGATTCGGAATGAGAGAAATCTTCGATCGCAGTATTGGAAGAAAAAAGGGTGTTGAAACTTGAAAGAGAAGAATTTAGCGGTTTGCAAACTTTATGATTATTTCTCGTTGGTGGATCCCACACACGTTATTTCTCGTTGAAGAATTTACCAAGACTAACAACAGCAAAACTATTATTTCATTAAAAAAAATTCTTTATTATCTAGACATTCAACCAAATTCAAATTTTATGTAGTTATCAACAATCTAATACATCAAAAATATAGAAGTTTCAGATATATATGAAAAATAAATTATATCAATATTATATTATATATAAAAAAATTTAAAACCATAAATTTTGTTAACTTTTCAATAACATATTATGTAATAAATAGTTGTGGAAATTGAAAATAAAATATATGTCCACCCATAGCTTTTCATGTTTTTAAAAAAGAGTTTGTTAGAGCACCCACAAATTCCATTTGCAATGCCACCAATTCATTTTTATATGTCACGTAAAACACGTTCTTGTAAGTGATATTTAATATTAAATAACGTTTTTTCACTTTAAGTTTTTATTTTATTAAACTGTCTTTATTTATTATATATATATATATATATATATATATATATATATATATATATATATATATATATATATATATATATATAAAATAGAAGCTTGTACGGTCTTTGACGAATCCATATCGAATTAAATGAGTGGATTGTAGACATGTATGTTTATATGTGTATATAAATATTCTAGCTAAATGCTCAAAAATTAGGTATGTGTGCCATATATAAGTTATTAGTATACTATTTTACAGACAAATTATATTAATAAGCTATTAGTATATTATTTTTATGTAAAAATAGGAGTGTGTGCCATGAGATACATAACAATATTTAGAGATGTATCTTTCCTACGTAGAGCCAACTACTATTATTAGTTGATCATCGTGTATGTGGTTCAAGAAAATAATTGGAAAAATAATAAGAGCATGTGTCATTATACACGATATAATTGTGGAAGATGAACATGATTAATATATTCGTCAATTTGATTTTATCGATAATAATGTTAATTTTAATATAGTTAGGCATGAAATTTTCGGAAATCGTCTTCACTCATATGAAATGTATCTTCAGAATCATGCAAAAATCCCTAACATATCCATAAAACACCAACTACAAGCGAATTTGATTGAAGAGATTTGAAACCAATTTAGAGATAAAGAAAATAAAGATTAATATTGTGATATTCGTTTTGTAATTCATGTTTTTGTAACGTCTTAATATTTAAATAATTAATAAAGTAAAATAAATTTAATATTTATTATTATTTTGTTATTTTATATTTAAAAATTTTATTTTCATTATAATAATCAAATTTATGTTTATTTATTATTGAGTGTGTGTGTGTTTGTGTGTGTGTGTATATATATATATATATATATATATATATATATATATACACTCCTACTTTTGAAAGATAATGTTATTGTATTGATTTAGAGATATCTATAAAAACGGATTTGATATATTTGAGAAATGAGTGATATTTCATTGATATGGATGACCTTAGTCAACTTAAGTTTGTACATTTTTTGTTTTTGCTTTTTTTTTAAGGACCGATAAACATAGTCTAAAGTTTTCATGTGGTGGTATTTATATTGTATATTCAAATAAAATAATTACGCATTTATAACACATAGTTTGCAACTTTGCATCATGTATATTAACTAGATTATAAGTTTTGAGAACACATAGCCACATTGTATAAGAGAGATACCGATAAATGTATTTTTATTATTTGAAATTATAGCAATTAAATGTAACTTGTTCTAGTGTGTATCATATAATTTAATAATTTTAAAAAATTAATAGGCAAAATAATCAAAAAATAACATCTTGTGAAAACCGAAAAGATGTTGCATATTTTGTGAAATAAGAAAAAAACATATTAGGTTGGGCTTAGATAATCACTTTTGTTACAATAACATGCAATATTTGACCCCTTAAATAATTAAATCTAAATATGTTTATGATGACGTACGGTTTATATGACTAAGTCCAGTCCGATATCATTGATCGGGTAACAATAACATCAAACTGTGGAAACTTGATGATATATGGTCCATTGGCAAGGCATAGACTGCTCTAGCACGCCATCCTGGTCTGGCATTCCCTTACCAATCTTGTTGGGGACTCCCTTGCTAGCCTTGCTGGGGACTCTCTTGCCGGCCCGGTCTGGCGCTCCCTTGCTTGGAGCCCCCTTGCCGGCCTTTCCTGGTGTGCGCCCGTTAGCCTTGCCCGAGGTGCGCCCGCCAACTCCGTCCGGCGCCTCCGGGCAGCCTTGCTCAGCTCCTTGCTAGGTGAGCCTGAATTGAATTGGCCCAAGGCCTGACCTAATTCCCTTGACCTAGTTGTCCCCTATAAATAGAATAGTGTCTCCTCCATGAAAGAGGATCTTTTTCCTGGGACCCTTCCCCATGGCTCGGACGCCACACTATACTCCGGCCAGAAGGCTCAGCTGCCACCCGCCGCCGTCAGCCACCATACATTAGCACAAACACCAAAATGGTTCACTCCAGCTAATCTCAGATCTATCAGGTGATCTAACTTGATCGTCGGAGTCCGCTCCCAAGGCACAGTCCATGGGGCGGCTCTAACGACTTTGTTCTGTGATGTCCAGATCTCCGCCGCAACAGAAGACTAGAAGACTTATCGGAGGTCGATATCGCATCATCAGTTTATTTAAATAATTATAATTTTGGAAGGTGCTACATACCAAAAACATTTTGGTAATAATCCACTTGAATTAAAAGAGCATATCGATTCCAAAATTAGTCACTTAACAAGTAAACGATGTTCAGGTGTATCTTTCATTCCACATTTTTCGTGTGCATTTTGTATTCCACCTTTTCTGTAGAAGATTCCATGATATCATTATAACAAGTTTGCACGAAACATTCAGTCTCACTCCCACACTCAACGTTTACTTCTTTGTCAACCAACACCACATATATCAAATAGAAAAACACCAAGATCTACCACACATGTCAACATTTCATCATGTTATTTTTTAAAAATGATTGACAGCGCAACCACCACTTAACGTGTAAATAGGCATGCATCATTCAGGACTTTAACACCAAAAAAAGGTTTAGGTCTAATGCATAAAAACAGTATCATCTTTCTTTCTTAGCAAGCCAAAGATTAGACTATATAATTTTTTTGGCATAATCGCTTTACAAGAACCAATTGTACAAAAACTTCAATCAATGGAAATCTAGTTTCATAAAACTACAAAAATGCAAGTGTTTATATGAAGATGCCAAATCTTGATGCATTTCTTCTTTGTTATACAGCGGAGCGGGCCCCTCTTAATCCTAATGCAAATCAATCTATGTTTTAATTCAGGAGACGAGATCATAAAAAACTTGTTCTTTAAACACTAAAGAGGAGTTTCATTTTTGTCTACTCCAGTGGCTTCCACAGCATTCAAACCACTCTCAATGGGAATGGGAATATCGGTTTCAACTTGTGTTGCTTCATCATCTGCCTTGCTGCTATCAATTTCCATCTGTGTTTCAGCCTCCTTTGCTTCTTCATGTTCCCCATTTCCCACATTCTGCATATCAGTCTCCATATCATCATCATCATCATCATCATCATCATGCTCATTTGTTTTTGCATCACCCATTTCTCCAGAATAATCTGAAAACTGGTTGCCCATCATTCTCGCCTAAACCAACATCCAAAAAAAAAAAATCATCACTAACTTCACTCCAACTCATAAAAAAAACATATATATACAATTATTACCTGATAGACTTGATGCATTCTAAAGTTAACAATTCCAGCCATTTCATCAATCCCACTGACAAAATGTGTGGGCCCAGTGTCTTCAACAGGACGATCAGTAGCAGGTGCAACCTCATGCAGATTGAGTGCAAGCAAATCAGGCCTCTGGAGTAAAAGCTGAAAAGTGGGCTGCAGTTCATAACATTGCTCAAACAGTGACCTCCTACAAAACACATAAAGTCCCAATCGAGCACGTGACATTGCAACAATCAGTCTTCTAACATCACGAAGATGCCCCACAAATCGTGTCCTCACAAGAGACAAAAGAATAAAATCATTCTGTTGACCTTGAAACTTGTCAACTGTTGCAACCTGTAAAAAAAACAATACTATAATTTTTCAACACAAAACTAATAAACACTATCAAAGGGAAAATAGCTAGCATGATTTATGTCCTAAACTGACCTTGTGTGGAAGGCCAATGAAATCATAAGGAGCACATCTTCTATTAAGAACATCGCGTATGAGAAGCTTCTGACCATTATAAGTTGTCAAGATTGATATTTTATTTGCAGGGTACCCCAACAACCGCATATAAATATAAACACTAACAAGATATTCAGCCTCCCCTTCATTTTGATAGAACCAAGGAGAAGGAGCACTCTCACCTTTCCCATGGTAATCAGGCACATCCACCAACTGATAATCAAAACCAAATCCAGCATTTGCTTTATGGAAAAACGGATTTTCCTTAACATAAGGAAGATCACCTAAATCCCTATATCTCCAGTTATAAAGCTTGGCTAAACTCGGTCTTGCTCTACCTTGTGCATTCAGCTCAATGTAAGGGATTCCTAACCTCACAAACCGTGTAAATAAGCTTTGATCCATGTGGCTGTATTTTTGGAAAGCCATGTTTTTAACGACAGGTGGCAGTTGATGATGATCACCAATCAGAATGCAGCGTTTGAGTCTCGCGTGCCCATCTTCTTGTCTTTGAAGCAACATCGGGATAAAAGTTTCTATTTCTAGAATCTGTGCGCTTTCTTCCATTAACAAGTTGTCATACTTGAACCCCAGGTGTAAAAAATCCTTTCTTTTTAAAGCTGCATGTGTACAAGTCATTGCCACAATCTTTGCTTGTTTTGTCATGAGGTGATTTGCTCTGTCAACTTGCGACTTCAGCAACTCAAACGCCCTGCATTCATCTAGCTCCTGGAAGACGGTTTTCAAATGACGAAAACACCCTTTAGCAGCACGCATGTCTTCTTCAAATGATGTTCCATTGAAAACAGGATTCGGGGTGTTGGAAAAGAATTCAGTGAAGGGGAATTTGTCTTTGACAAACGAGGGTTTATCTTGATTTTCATTGCAAGAAGCTAGAAACTGTTCCCAACGTGAGTACACGTGGAGCAACCAGAAGTAGCCAGCTGTCTCACAGGTGTAACCAACATCTTCAGGTAGTTGTAAAGATCTTGCAAGCCTTTCAACTTCACTAAGAAGCTCTAAACGTCTCACAAGCATTGCATTCACACGCCCTTGACGACTGAAATCAAGATCTGTTGCAAGTTCTTGCTCCCCTTGACCTAATCGAAGAAGATAACGAGCTGGCACATCCCTCTATTTATAAATAAAAAAAAAATCAAAATTAATTAATATGTAAGAGATAAAGATATATATACTTTGAATGTATATATGGAAACTGTTTTCATTTCATACCTCCATTATTTTTTCAAATAGGTCATTCAGAGCTTGATTTGAATGGGTGATGATTAATGTCCTCTGAGAAGGGCAATTGTGGTAAAGTACATTCAGTATCTGAACTGCAGTATCAGTCTTTCCAGTACCAGGTGGACCCACCACCATTGTTAATCCCGGTTGTATCCCTGAGATTATTGCTCCAACCTGTAGAAAAAGCAATGATGTCATTCACCAAATATCTTATAAAGAACAAAACTAAAGATAAACACAAAAAAAAATACCTGTGTAGGGGTAAATCTGACAGAATTCTGTTTTGGTTGATCTTGAGGATAAGGACCAGGGTCAGGAGGTAAGTAAGCTTCAACAATAAGTTTTTCTTTTTCTTTTTCTTCTTCAAAATCCTTCACATCAACTGAATGTGAATTGGACTTCTCATTTCCAGAAAGAGCATGAGTATTTCCTTTAAGATTTCTAGGAATGTTGATCCGAAATGGAGGGCCAGGATTCAAGTTCTCAGTGCCATCTGCATTTGTAAACATCAACTGATACTCTGAGAAACATTCTCTAACATGATCAGCATCAAGAAACGTGTCTTTGAAATCAATGGTTTCAAGAAGATCAGGCATATTAGTCCATTGAGCTGCAGAAGGATCCCCATATCCCAAAAATATATCATGCAACCATTTAGGAACAATACATGTTTCATTCATCAGATCTCTAATACTCTCCAATATTGCTTTGAAATTGTTCTCTTTCGGTTTCCTCCTCATCAAAATATTAAACCTACCATAAACATCTTCAGCACCTTTCTCAGCAATATCAGTAACATCCATATGATATTGAGCAGTATCAAGAGCAACAGTCACAGTTCTCAAATCCCCTTTTGGTGGTTTCCATTCATCTCTCTTAATTCTACCTGTAAAATCATTCATTAAATTCCCTTCCTCATCACGCATTTCAATAATCTCACATCCTCTTACAAACTGTAACCCTAGTTTTTGTGGGACCGATGCATTTTCCGCTTCTTCAGCACTTAAAGGTTCAAAAGAAGGACGAATACAAAGCAAGAAAAGCACATCATGTTCCTTTAATGCATTCCATTCAGACCTTATCTGTGCTTTGTAACTTGAAATGGCAAAAGTAACCTCAGCAGTTACAGATGAGGGCTTTACTTCACCAATATTTGGTTGTTTCACTTCAGTGATTTTGAATTCTTTAATGGGAACAGCCATTCTTGACCACCCACGAAAAGCAGGGTCCCCTTCATTGTTGGTGTATGCAAGAAGATGTGGAACAGCTTCTTGAATGTCCTCACGGATTTCATAAGTGGATTCGAGGCGAAAAAGATTAAAATTTCTTAAAAGGTAATCATGAAGGGTTAAAAACTGTAAATTTAGTTTAGGAAGTGCAAGGCAACCTTCACCAGAGTAGTTGATACTAGGGACAAGACTTTCATCCCACATTATCTGTTCATTTGGATAAAGTGGTAAAGCATTTATTGATTCCTTTTGAGATTGTTGTTTCTCAAAAAAAGAGACCATGACTTCGATAAGAAAGTCAACTCTTTCAGTCCATGGATCGTTCTTTGAAACCAACTTTAGCTTACTGCAGACTAAGTCACGCAATTCATCAGGAGAAAGAACAGATAATTTCTTTGAAAGATCAGCACGCCTATCAATTGCACCAATGTTAGCAAGTGCAAGTTCTTTCAATTTGGGTACTTTTTTAAATGAAAGAAGCTGAAAAGCTTGAAAACGTTCATAATGGGCTTTAAGAACATCATCATCTGTCATTTGTTTCCCTGTGTTGTCATCGATTTCAAAACCTTCATAATACTGCAGTAAGTCAACTAGCTGTGCGAAAAGCTTGCCTTTTTCATGTCTATAAAGAACACTCAAATGACATTTCGCAACCACCGCCACATCAGCAACAAGAGCCTTAAAGTATCTGTGGACAATCATTCATCAAGATAAATAACAAAACATGAAGATGAAAAAAGTAAATAGCAGATAATGTATTTAACTTTGTGAGGATGAGTTACCTCCTGGTTGGAAGTTGGCTTAAAAGATCAATCAAGAACTCCATAAACCTCTCACAATACAAGATTGAAGCTTCATTGATTTGTTCAAACCCATGAACTTTGGACCCTTCATTGTCATCATCGTGATAAAATACCTTTGAATCAAGCACCTCTAAAAACTCTTCAATGAAATTCCTTAAGAACTTCACTTCTAGCATTACTGACATATCAAAAGATTCCCCTCGTTTCTTTGCCTTCTTGGCTTTTTTTGCAATTCTTTTCCATTTGTCTATCAGATCAGTATCAAGACAAAGCTCCATCTTAAAACAAATCAAAAGAAAATTACACAAGTAAATATGAGAATCAAGTTTCGTGAAAATGAAAGAAAAAAGTGTATGGACTTACCTGAAAACGACCAAAGGATAGACTATGCCAGCAATGAAGGCTTGCCAATCTCATGACTTTCTTGCTTACTATATCATCCTCCAGACTCTGTAACACAAAAGACAAGAAACATCAATTGACTATATATTGAGAGATAATATGCAACAAGATATACAACGACTTTTACCTGAAAGGCATTAATCATGAAAAGTAGGTAATTTGTCTTCTCTGCAATACTCAAGCTTTTTCCCTGCATTGAAGTTATAATGTCAACCGTCAATCTTAACCTATGTCAGTAGCTACCCGGAAAGCAAAGACACATACCTCCTTTAAGCAGAGAACCCTCTCAAGAAATGCCTTAAATATATCTTTCCTATCATAGAAGCATATCCACGCAGCAACATTTTCTCGAAACTGCATCGCCAAAAGGATAAAGTTATTATATAAGTCACTAGTCATGGACTTCACCTTCTAGTTCATCATTTGTTTACTTAGCACAGGGATTCAAACCCTAAAATTATATAGAAAAGAGTATACAGGGGTACTGAACTACTGATACCTTCTCGTTAATCATGAGAATCATTGACATGACATGCTCAAATGATGAAGTCTCGGGATCGAAATTTGGCCATAGGTAATTCTCCAAGTACTGACTAACTTCAAGAATCATAACCCTCTGCAACGGCACCGTTCTCCTCATCCTCCCACTTTTGTCCTCCTTAACCAGCAACTCCGTCTCATAAATCTCCTTTACAAGCTCCGCACTAAACGGAGGTTTCTCGTTGTTTGATGCCGTTTTAGACCAGTTCGCATCGGCAATCTTAGTGAGCCGGTCCCGCTGGATTTCAACAAGGGTTATCGAGCTTGGCAGATTGGTACCTGGTTTTGATTCCGGCGGCCTTTCCGGAACTGCTTGGTCGGAACCACCGACGGTAACGGGGTACTCAGCAACGCGGTGGCGCCTGAAGTCGAACACTCCAGTTCCGTAGACTTTCGTCATTGTTCGGAATTTCTGGATCGACGAAGTGAGTGTCTGCTGTCAGTACCACGTAGAAATGTTCAAAAATCAATGTTAGTGTATGGAAGAACTTCAAACTGGACGATTCTGAATACGGGTTTGAATGGAGTTCTTTCTGAAATTACGTGAAACCCTACTCGCCAGTCGCCTCTGATAGAAGTAGTACAGTGGGTCGTTGAGAAGGCGGTCGTGAAGGCTCGAATCCAAGGGTGTTCGGATTTGAGTAATTTGGGTAAATAGCGGAAAAGTCATAGCAAGGGGCCAAGGACGTAACATTTCCTAAATGGTTAGAATTTAATCAAAGTACTTTTTGCCTAAATTTATTTTACTAAAATTGTTTTTGAGCTTTATACTAATAAAAATAAGTTTAGATAATATTTAAAAAGAAATAGCGTAATCTAACCATTTTTTAACGCTTTTTGAAAAAAAAAATATCAATAGAATTAATTTTGAAAATGATCATTTGTAATACTCATTTCGGATCTGTATTTTGAAACGGATAAACGGGTATAATGAGCTGATCTAATAACGTGGTCCCCTATAAATAACATTTCGAACCCACTTTCCTGAGATACTTCATTTCGGACAACATCAACTCAAACAATGTCTTCTTCTAGCAATGAAGAGATTCAGTTTTTTTGGCATGTTTCGATTATTTTTATAATTATGTGTTAAAAAGTAGATATTTTCGTTTATTTTGTATAACAGGGGTTTTAAACCCCGTGAGTTTAAGATATAATTAAATTGTAAATAAAAGTAACCTCATATGCATGAGTTTAATACATAATCAAATTGTAAATAAGAGTAACCTCATATTTGATCTTATCTGAATGGTTTGTAATACTTATTTACCATAAAAACAATTGGGAAATCTTCAAGTATACAATAATTACTTACCAATTAACTTGCGATTCATCCCTTTGTTATTTATGTACCTGGCAAGCTCTAGCATATACAAAATTATGGGTCGGGCACATTTTGTTCTTTCTAAATAACAAGTGTTTTTGGCAAGAACAAAACAAAATATGATCATTAAGAAAGTTCAGATTTAATAAAAATATAATAAAATAAAACAATGATAGAAAAAAATATAGTGAAACAAAATGCTACAAATTTTAAATGACCATTGTTCCTCATAAGAAGCAAAAGAAATATACGAAGTCCAGATATGGCAAAGCAGGTGCAAAATTTAATTGACGATTAATAATCATAAATGTCTATAAAAACATAACAATTATAAATGTCAAATAGAGCATATGTCTAATATGTGTAATATATTTTAGAATGCAATATGTCTAATATGTGTAATATATTTTAGAATGCAATACATAATATAAGTCCCAACAAATATGTTCTATTACAACATTATATCTAAATCATTAAATCCAAATTGAATGCTTTTATCCTCTCTCTCTCTCTCTCTCTATATATATATATATATATATATATATATATATATATATATATATATATATATATATATATGTGTGTGTGTGTGTATATATATATATATGTGTGTGTGTGTGTATGTATAGTGTGAATCCTAGTGAGTCCAAATTCCCTACATTCACAAACTTATTTAATAGCCTTAGCCTCGTACGATGGGATCATAACAATCTCGTAAAGTTTCACCTGACCAACTGATCCAAAGCTTAAAAACCAAATAGATGAACTGATCCAAATCTAAAGCGAAAAGCATACCAAGTAAATACTTGAAATATATAATTCATTTTTTATCATAAATCTCATTTGACTTTTGAGGGTTTTAACATGATGCGGGAAAAAACCAACATAAAAATAGTAGTCTACTTTGCTTTGTTGTCACTATTGAAAATTGTGATCATTTTATCACTTTGTATATGACATACTCTGATTGGATAAATTTGTTAAATCATTAACTTAGTGCAATGATAAAAAAGCCTTGGATTATTGGTCAAACTAACTTTCAATATACAATGTGTGGTGTAATTAGATATATTTTGTTAAATCATATTGATTTAGTAACAAAAAAATGTAATATTAATATAAAGAAATGAAAAATACAATGACTATAAGGCATACACGATGCATTGAACTTAATAAAGTTTAATGAATTGTCACATCATCTTTCTACAATCCATACAACCTTATCATTTTTTTTTACGTACAATGCATTGAACTCTACAAAGTTTAGTAGAATGTTATAAAATGTAATTTATAGTAAATATTTAAGAATTAAAAACTTTATTTTTTCCATTGAAGAGTTCAATGGTCATTGAACTCCAAGTCCATGGAATGCTAATGTGGCATTTCATAATGGTAGAGTTCCATACATCGAATGACCCATAGATTTGTCACCTTATTCGACTCTCCCATTAAACTCATCATTGAATGCATCGTGGATGCCCTAATACATAAATAAATAAAAGTGTATTGCTATATGTGAATTTTGTATAGTCCCAAATGCAAGAAATGTTAAATTACTCTTATATATTCTACTTTTAAATTTTTTTATATTACAACATTGTACTTTTGTATAATCTACCAAATTATAGCAATTTTTGTCTGATTTTACATGATGCAACTTATCTGGTATCCCATTATCTATTTGACTGGTCAACTTAAAGATTGATTATTTATATCTCTTGCTAAATGAAAAAAAAAGAACTTGGATGAAATCAAATTGATACCTTCAAATAGCAAGTAAATCATGTGTGGTTAAATTCTCACCAGTGAAGCTGCGAAAGGCATTCGTAGTAACCTGTTGTGCATCTTTTCCAGTCCTACCCATCCCAACACCCACTTGCCCACATGTCAACACCACATGCATCATTCACACGTGTTAATAAAAAATAACAAAAAGAATAATAAGAAACAAGTAAAACCTAGAAAAACACCTAATTTATAAACATAAAAGATATCAAAAGACAATATTAAAAAAAAAAAAAAAAAAAAAAACATGATGTCTTTCAACACACGACGCCTTAATAATAAACAGTGGGATTTTCAAAACAATGGTAAAAGTACTATTGTTTTTTCATAAAGCTAGACATTTTGTAAACCAACACGATACCTTTTACTCATCATCCAAAAGCATATATTTTATTTGTCGCATGGTTATCTGTTGCAACAAATAAAAATATTAAAGAATATATATTGCATTTGAGGATTACACCATAAAAAAAAATTAGAACTCTAAGCATTTCAAAAGGAACTCAATGATGATTGTAATAGGCCATGCGAATAAGTTTTGAATATCTATATGGAACATGAGAGATCGTCCCCTTACTAATCTTCCTAATTACCTGAAAATCTAGTTGAAATAAAATTCCCAAAGAAAAATAAATATCATTAGTGTCAACATAGATGTAGCATCCTAAAAATACCGAGTAAAAAATCATTTTAAATAACTCAAAATGATTCACTTATTGTTCATAAGACGATCAAAGTCGGAGTATTCTAAAAACATCAGAGTAATTCGTAAACATTTAGTGCGAAATAAATCTACAGGGGATGTAGTGCGATCAAACCGGGCCCTTCATTTTGAAACAGAAGTACCTAAAACATTTTAAACATAAACCGTAAGCACAAAGCTTAGTGAGCTTTCTAAAATACCATATATCATGCAAATCAGTGGGTCTAGCCCTATGGTATGTTTCAACATAATACATATCAATGGGCCCAACCCTGGGGTATATTTATGATGGGTTTTACATGCAATAATGCGGATAAATCCTTATACACTTAAGGATACACACAACCTATTAGATTTAGTCATAACACTATTGAAGTAACATTCTATTAAACACAATAAGAAACCTACAACCCTAGGTAATTTCGAAATTCACAGAAGATTACATACCTTTTGATTGTTGTAGTAAACAATCAAACAATCCTTCTTGAAAAGCTCTTGGAAGGTAGCACCAAAAATCTTGTGCCTCGGATAGTTCACACCCAAACCCTAACGACTAGGAAATTTGAAAAGAGAAGCAGGAAGAGACAAAATTTCGACTGGCTTCTTAGCTTGTAGGTTGGCCGAAATTTAGAGGGTGGAAGGCCCTTTTTATAGCTGACCAAGAAACCTTAGATAACCCTTACTTGATTAAAATAGCAATATCTTAAATCATCTAATTATTTGTTTTCTTAATTATCTCCAAGGCATGCTCTATAAGCCTTATATGACTCCTTAAAACCGTCCATCACTAGGAAGGTTTTGAAAGGCTTTCTGCTCAACTATTGAATAATTACAACTTAGGTCATTGCACTATTAATTAATCAAATTAATTCCAAATTTAATTTTAAATAATTTTTGATTAATTCTTAATTAAATAATACTAGTTCTAATTAATATATTATTCTTATAATATATTAACAAAACATTTATTGTTGTTTATTAATCATATAATAAATCAAAAAATCAATCTCTCTGTAAAAGTAATTGTAACACCATAAAATTCGAGCCAAATTAAAACATTTTAATTCATTCAAAAACCATTAAGTACATACATTTGTTTTTAAAATAGTTTAAACATCAGAGTATTCCCCATAACCATATCACATAAATCATAAAACATGAGGAGTGGTACGATCACGCCATCGCCTTGGCACGATCTCCCGAAGTACCTGAAACAAAACACCGAACTGTAAGCCCGAAAGCTTAGTGAGTTGCCCCCAAAATACCAACCACATACAACGGTAATCATATCATATCATATCACAAATACAGAACAACCATGTCTCTCAAGTCTGCAGCGTGACTGGTCCACCCTCAACAGGCCTTCAGTCTACCTAGTCCACGCTCTAAGTCTACAGTATAACTGGACCGCCCGCACCGGGCCCTCAATCTATCTGGATCTATCCCGCGCCTTCGGTATGACTGGACCACCATACGGGCCTACATTCTATCCGGACCGCTCGTAGGGTATGTTGGCCTTCAGCACAAAGTAGGACCGCATCAACCCAAACATCAAGCAAATAACCATGTGCACATATAACAAGTAATCACATAATAGTCTGTAGACAAAAAAATCGATCTGGCATATCATAAAGCATAGCAACATCCTAACCAGGATACCAACCTAATCGGTCACTAACATAGCATCATCCTATATACCAGGATACCGACCTAAACCAGGTCACTAACATAATACTATCCTAATTACCAGGACGTCGATCTAACAAATCAATAAGCACATCAACCAGTACACGTACAGATATTAGATATAACTATCTCACATATCATCGATCATAGTAATCTCTCATAACCAAAACACCAACCTAACCAGGTCACTAACATACCAATCCTAACGGATCATAAGAGCATGACAACATACTGTCTATCCGGA